CTGCTCTTCGGGGCCGACCCCATCAGCCGATTCCTCGCTTTGCCCTCTGAAGACAAAGGAGTCTGTTGTGTGTTGTTGGTTGTTGGGATAGCTGTGTGACGGATGCCATGTGGGTCGCTGCGGTGAGAGTGAGGAATGGGGGGGAGGTCTTGATTTAAATCTTTCCAGATGAGCTGAGGTTTAACAATGTGAAAGACAAAGTTTTTGGACTGTCAGTGTCGGTGTCACACACACACACACAAACACACACAAACACAAACACACAATTTTCAGGAATGATTTTGCAATATTTCCCTGAAAAGTATCTGCATTCTCTGGAAATGTGAAGACCTGTTCTAAACAGTGACGTGAGAGTCACTGGCATGTGGCCTGTGGTGAAGCATTAACATGTTCATATTAGTTATTTCAGAATAGCACAAACAGACACAGACCGATGTCCCCTGCAGACCAAATCAAATTATACTGATGGTTACTGAATTCAGGACAAGGTGCTCCATTCAAACTTCTCAGGACTTTTGCAAATCATTTCAAAGATATTTTTCTACAATAATTAGATTCTCTTGTTAAACCTTTAGGAAAATAATCTCAAATGTCAATGAAACAATATTTATTTAAAACCAACAAAGAGAATATTGTTTCGTTTTGATCGACACTGTCAGAGAGGCATTCATTTAACTCTTATATCTACATTTTTGGGTTGCAAGGTGGCGCAGTTGGTAGCACTGCTGCCTCGCCGCTAGAAGGTCGCCGGTTTGCGTCCCGGTGGGGGCACCGGAATCTTTCTGCGTGAAGTTTGCATGTTCTCCCCGTGCAGCGTGGGTTCTCTCTGAGTTCTCCAGCTTCCTCGCACACAGTCCAAAAACATGTTGAGGTTAATTGGGGATTCTAAATTGTCTGTAGGTTTGAATGTGAGTGCAGCCCTGTGATAGACTGGTGATCTGTCCACGGTGTCCCCTGCCTTCGCCCTAAGTCGGATGGGATAGGCTCCAGCTCCCCTGCAACCCTAATGAGGATTAAGTGGTGATTGTATAGATAATGGATGGATCTACATTTTTGAGGTTGTGATGTTGGACTGGACTGTATTAAAGTTGTTTTTAGCGTTCCGTGCATTCCTTTATAAACACGAAGAGCATATAAAAAAAACACATGTCAAGGTCAATCAAAAATATAAAATTGAATCAACAGCTCTCACAAACTGAGCATGATAATCATCCTGCAGTGTCCTATATCCTCCCACAATGTTTAATTTACAAATTAAATGTTTAAACTTGAAGACTTCATTTGCAAAAACAGATGACTCCATCGTCACAAACTTTCAAAACACCCCCTTTTCCATCGTCCACCTGTGACAAAATCAATCAAACTTAAGTTATCTCTATGTTTGTCACGTCATTTCTACTGAGTCAACTTCAGTTTGATTGATATTATCTCAAGCAAACAACAAAAAAATACGTTTTCTGAAAACCTGTTATCTGTTTTTGCAAATGAACTCTCCACTTTCTTAAATATGATTCTGTTTTTCAGAATTTAAATATTTTGCAGAAGTCAACACAACAACAGCAGCATTGAACACCATCACAGTTTCATGTACATGTGATGTGCAGCAGCAGAGGACATCAAGTCTTTTTCTTTTTTAAGATTTATTTGAATAATGGAAGTACAAATGTATTGTCAACTCATAATTGCAGTTTTGTTTTCCATCATTGCACACACTAATGGTGGCTTAGCTATTGTGCTATTCAAGCTACTGGCCTGAGCATCTGGAACAATAAAGTGTTTTCTGTGGCCACTTTGACATGTGGACATGAGCTGGTGACTGAATTACTAACCCTGCAAGAAATACATGGACTCACCTAAAAGCTGAAAATCTTCCATCAATACGGATGTGATTAATAAGCAGTAAGATGATAGTAAAAGTTGACACATTAACACATTTTTGTCCAGGCAGCTACGTCGAGTTACCAATTCTTAGCAATCAACTGCTGAAAAGTATGTCACAGCTAAATAAATGTCATGACAGCAGTAACATAGTGGGATTAGCTGTGCTGACAATACAGCCGCAGACAATTCCAGTCTGTGCGATAAGCCGGTGACTCAGTCTGAAGGCCTCAGTCTGAAGTGACGAGAGGAGCTGTTCAGTGTTTCTGAGGCCCATGGGGATGACAGCGGAAGATCACAACACAGTACTGACACCTGCAATTCAGACGCTAACTGCCTGTTTGTCACGAGCTGATGATGGTTATCCAGGCATCGTAGAGGAATGATGATTTCAGCAGCGACTCTGTGCTTTTCTTTGCTGCACATTATATTCTGAATAATGAGTGCAGTCTGAAAATAACAGCTCCAAGTATTTGCGCTCTGATTGCACATATCTTGATCTGCATTGTGTGTTTGCGTGCTTGAGTTTAGACTTAAATGGAAGGTCATTGCTAATGTCTTATGTCAACATGCTTGTCATTGCACTGCCATTGTGTGACCATCCTATCAGTAAATTACTGCTCAGACTTCAGTGAATATTCTCAGTATGTACTCACAAACCAAAGAGTTGGACGAAATAAATTGGACACTGTAGTTTACAGCACAATGTCCAAAGAACTGGAAACTATGTCATATATGAGTCATTGTGAAGATGACATTAGTAAAAGTCCAATTTAGAAACTTATGATCTTTTGGGGGCTGCAAGGTGGCTCAGTGGTTAGCACTGTCGCCTCACAGCAAGAAGGTCACCAGTGCGCGACCCGGTGAGGACACCCGGGATCTTTCTGTGTGGAGTTTGCATGTTCTCGCAGCGTGGGTTCTCTCCGGGTTCTCTGGTTCTCTCCTCCCAAAGTCCAAAAACATGTTGAGGTTAATTGGTGATTCTAAATTGTCCGTAGGTGTGAATGTGAGTGTGCTTGGTTGTCTGTCTCTAAGTGTAGCCCTGGGATAGACTGGTGACCTGTCCAGGGTGTCCCCTGCTTTCACCCTGAGTAAGCTGGGATAGACTCCAGCCCCCCACGACCTTAAGTGACCCTTTAGCAGTGTATAGATAATGGATGCATGGATGATCTTTTGGATGAACCAAAACAACGACACTGGCCCAGATTTTTAAAAAAAGCAGTTTTGCTCTCTTCCACCTCATAAACGTGAAACATCAGGATGAAATATTTCAGTAATTACCATAAATGTATTGTAATTACTTACATTAGCTATTTGTTTTGATTACATTTATTTTTATCGATCAAAATGCAGTGTTTCAGCCTGCTATAATGCAAATATCCCTCCTTTCCATCAAATGTGACATTAGATAAATCAGACTCACAAATCAGTAACTGGCAGCATGGGCAGAAAACTTTCTCTTTTTTTGACCTGCTGTTGTAAACTGTACTTATTAAAATAATGCTAGAAATATTAACATGACACAGACATATGTGCTTTTCTACAGTTAGCATGTACCACGTGTTTGTCATAAATAAATAAGTAAATAAATAATTATGTAAGCAAGTAAGTAAATGAATAAATAATCTACAGACACCTATTTTTTTAAAATTAAGTTTAAGAAATAAATAAATTAAGTATTGACCTCGACAGAAATGCAAGAAAAAAGGTTCCAGACAAAGTCAGCGGATGACCGTGAGTCACTGTGTGATACGATGAAATAATTTACTGCTAAATTTAGTGCTTTGAATTCCTCACAGCAAATGTTGAAATAATGTGCTGCCCTTATCTCCTAATTGGAGCAGATCCAAACTATCTGGGTAAACACTTATGATACCGGGCAGGAGGGAGAAAAAAAAAGGTTTCATGGCCATTTTAAATGAACATTGTCTTACATTCACACAAGTGTAGTAACTCTTAATATCATCAGCACTGGTCGTGTTATCCTTGATTTCTGGAAGTATGCGCCGTCGGAGAGATTATACAATTTCACCAAGGTCATCTGAAATATTTCGCAACATCTCTTGCCATACATGGCTTCCCTTGCTATGACTCAGAGAAGATGGCTTCAGCCTCTCTGCTCTTGCTATTTTTTTTAAAAACACTTTCACCCACTTTTACACACACACACACACACACACACACACACTTCCTCGGTCTGAATCGCATCGCACATGCCAAACTGTAAATTCCTGATGGGGCCACGCTAAAATTCATGTCACGATTTTCTAACCGCTGTGTCTCTTGTGGTAAAAACTTAGGTAGTAATTATGCTTTTATGGCACACTGAGTAGCTGTGACAGCAGCGCAGCAGTCAGCTCGTTTGCCAAAAATCCCTGGAGAACAAAAAAAAAGGCGCACACACAGACTTCCTAACCAGAAGCTTGAGCACCAGTTGCACCACTGGCACTCGGCAAATATTTACCTTCTCTGTTTAGCTTCACAAGCTAAAAACTGCACCAAGAAAAGGCGGCCAAGTGGACTTTGTATGGCAGAACGCACTTAGATGCAACAAGAAAAACAACCGACTGATGAATGTTGGAAATGTGCCAGCAGCAAATGCATGAATGGGTAATCCACTTCCATATTTTGTTTTTTTGATGGATGGGCCACTTTTTTTATTTCTCTGTTGACTCATTCTCTACAGGAATCTCCAATCAGGCTGAACTTATCAAGCGTGAAAAACCATTTGAAAGGAAGGCTGAGAGGGACACAAGAAAACAAGAAGGTCCTTTCTCTTTTTCCTGCTTGGAAAGCTCATTATTCCTCAAGCTCCCCTCTGTCTGAAAAGCACCCCCTCCTCTACCTTACTTCACTTTTTTTTTTTTTGGAGTCTCCGCCTCACCTCCCCACAAGCCCACACTGTGTGAGTGACTAACACTAGTTTTTCTTCTACTATAGCACCGCCTCCATTCTCTCACTGGCTCTTTCATTCCCTCATCCCCGCCGCTGCTCCCTCCTTCCCTTTCTCCTGCCCTCTCCTCTTTCTCCCCTCTTTCTCTTCATTGCTGGTCGTCCACACCGACCAGCTCAAACCCAAAGAGCTCCTCTCTCCCTCTCACACTGATCGAGCTTTAAAGCCACAACTTTCCCTCCTCTCTCTCTCTCTCTCTCCACAGGAAGTTATTGCTCAAGTCTAAAGGTACAGAAACAACTTCTATCTCAGCATTTTACCATTTAAATACGTCTGCAAATGCATTTAACCATTTGACCGGCAGCTGTGATTGTGTGTGTCTGCATGTGTGAGAGAATTGAAAGTGTACACGTGTGTTGTAGTTAGAGTGTACGTATGAGGAAGTCTGCACTTCTGTCCAGCTGCGAGCGCAACACATGCGTTCGTCACTTGGACTGAAAACGTTTCTAAACAGATGTTGAAGCCTTTTTTTTTGTGGGCCGGTGTTGCATCATTATAACTGTTATTGCAAGAGACAGTATTTGTCCAATAGGCTGAAGTAAGATATTGACAGTTTAATCTATTTTGTTTGGGCTGTGTGGGATTTAACTCAAAAGATGGCAAACCTCTATTATCTCACTGAACTAAGTGCTTGACAGATTTGCAGTCTGCCTTACATAAAACCTTTGGAACATCTCCCTCTAACTCTTGTGTCCCTCCCTCCCTCCCTCTCAGGCAGCTCATCTGAACCAAAGCAGAGGTGTGACAGAGAGGAGGAACAAGATACAGGTGAATCAGCGGCACCATCACGGTGTCGACATCCCAGTCGAGCGGAGTTCAAGTTCCTGCACGTTAAAACAGATCTGAAGATTCCCACAGCAGCTATGACTCAAAGCAACGGGGAGAACCCACAAAGGGCTCGCAGCGGTCTCCATCAGATCCGAGCCGGGATCCAGTCCCGATCGCTGCTGGCCAAGAAGAGAGTGGAGAACATCACGAAGGATGACGTGAAGGGATTCTTTGTTCGAAATGCCTTTGTGATCCTTACCATTGCTGCTGTCATTATTGGTGAGTAGCAGCAAATGTTTTGACACTGAACTCTAGATTATTGGAGAACACCTTCTCCTCTTCTCTCCCCGTCTTATAAAGAAAAAGGAAACACATTGTCTGCATCTCCCCAATAACCAATCAATCTGGTGTCTGTAGGAGGACAGGAGAAGGAAAAGAACAGAAACAAAATCACCGGATGAAAGAATAGACGGAACTCAGATGAACTCAGCAGTCTGGCCGTTATCTGACCCCGTTGCCGACCTTTGACCCGCTCCCATTAACCTCTGAGTCTCACCCAGTAGGAAGTGAGCCAGGCCCACCCACCGCCTGCACATCTGCAGCCCTGCTAGAATTACGCCGTGCCACGACAAACACAGTTGATTGATTGTTAAATTCAGGATATTCCTGACTTCGAGCTGCTGGGTCCGCCACCTGGGCTTGTCAGTGGATTAGCGCTTGACTAAACAAATAACTTACTGAGAGCATAGACCGCACTGATCCCGGAGAAAAAGAACTCGCAAACATTTTGATAAGAAAATCTAGTTCAAAGATCAACCAAAGCAGGAGTGACAGCCACTGGTGTTCTGGAGAATCTAAACTTATTCCCCCTCCAACCATCTTAAAGAGTCAACTTTTGCTAATGTTTACCATCATCAAGCTCCACTTCTCATGTGACGTTGTGCCATTTTAAACTACTTAGCATTACTATAGTGTGGATACTGGCTTATAAATATGAAATATTTTGCATTAATCCGATTATATCCAACTGCAGGTGTCAAATCCAGGTTTTGTCACGTTGGCGTAAAACGTTTTCTTCTTTGCTTCCACATCTGACCCACGCTACAGGTATAATCCTGGGATTTGCCCTGCGGCCGTATAAAATGTCGTACCGTGAAGTGAAGTTCTTCTCCTTCCCCGGGGAGCTGCTGATGAGAATGCTTCAGATGCTGGTGCTGCCCCTGCTGGTTTCCAGTCTCATCACAGGTATGAACATCACGACAGTCTAGTGCAATCAGGGCACCGACAGCTACAGATGCATCTCGGAATAGAGTCATACTGATTTAGTTAGTTCACCTCTTACTCTACCTTTTAGTTTTGGATAGTCACTGAGTACAATTTTGATGTAATGCCATTTGTGCTTTAGTGTCTTTGCTACGTCTAAGTCGCTGACAAACTGTCTTATTAATCTAACACGTATGATTTACAGATTGCATCAACAATTACACAATAATCAAAATGTGACAATGTTGTGCACACCCAGTTCCTATACACAGCTCTCCCACATGGTTGTAGCAGCAAGCAAAGTGTTGTCATCCACTATTTTTGTTCTAAATTTAACACAGCGCTTCATGACTCCTCCTGATATCACAAACATTTTCATCAAAGCATTTTCTCGTACGTGCACATCCGTCTGTTCCCTGCTCAGCATGACTCCATTGCTTTGTAAAATACAAACAACCCGCGACAAGACACAATTTCATCCATCCATCTACTACTGTGTCCCCTACAACTGTCTCTCTACTATCCTGGAGTGGAAGTGCAGCGTAGCATGGAAAAAGTAGCACTCTGACTTTATTTATATGAGATTTCAGATAGCAAAATAGCCGGTGTTGTCTTTGTGAAATGGTGATAGTGTTGTGTGTTGTTTTTTTTGGCTCTGCTGATCATCACGTACTTCATGAGTGGCAGAGCGAAGCAGCTGTTTGTTCACACGGCGCTGTTTGTTTCTTTAAGGCCCAGTGGTGGAGGGTTAGGATGACCTCATGAGTGAGACAGAGAGAGAAATGTGTTTTAACTCGCATTTCAGGTCATATGCCTAGTATATGTATTGACGCTCGTGTTCCTAATAAAACACGACCTAAGCAAACCCTGTTCTACTGGGTAGTAATTAAAGCTATTCAGTATTTGTGAAAGGGATTATTTTTGTTTCGGTACATCTTGTACCTTCTGCATCTCACATGAATTTGGGCCAGTATTTCAGGAAAACAAAAAAACATATGACATAGCAGTGTTTTCTTCCGGAGGGCTGATGAGTTTGTTATTGATCGGAATCTCTATTTGTTATTAAAGCACAGGCCGAACTTGTGAGCTTCCAAAAAACACCAGTCAGCAGCACCGACTGACAAATGTAGGTGGGAGGACCAAATGTCCAGGCTCTGAGCGGTGACTGACGGGAAAAGAGGCCAGTCTCCTGAAGGGATGACAGAGACCCGCTGTCCGATAATAACCTGCTTTGTGTTGCAGCGGGGCGTAACATCAGCATCCTCTGACATCATGTCACATGACCACAGCTACAGCATGTGGAAACCAACAATGAGTGCTGTTCTGCAGCCAAGTCATCAGTGGATGTGCACTTCTACGCATGTTATCAGATGTCAGCTGTTGCATCACTACAGTTAACACACTTTTACTTTTACCCATCATCTGAAAACAGACTTGGAAACAAGTATTAGAGTAAAAAAATAGCATTTTTTATTGTTGTTTTTTTTTCTTTTTTTGTTGCTATAATGAAATAGCAATTTTCTTTAGCACACAACAATAACAGACATTACATTTATGCCATTTTTTTTGGAGACAGCGCTGATCTAAACAGACTTTATCTGCATCAGCCAGAAAGATGTGTGCCAAGAACATACACAATGGCAGCATATAGAAAGCAAATTTACCAATATTATTGTGTAGCAAGACCCCAATATGCAGATGTTTTAAGTATTGTGTATTATTTATACCCAGTAATTAGCATATTTGGATTCTAAAATGCTGATACAACAGATTTTGATTGCTGTCCCTTCATTCAGACTTTAATTGTTGCAAATGTTTCTTTCAAGTATTTTGACACGCCGGTTTAACAGTAGCTTTTCATGCACACATGCACCTTAAGTCAAAATTTTAAAAGTGAATCTAAAACTAAATGTCACCTCCTCTTTACTGTTAAACTTGCTCGTACCTTTCCCTGTTCTTTTCAGTAAAAAACTAACTTCCTTATTTACAAATATAGGATATAATTTTGTATGTCAGGATACTAGTCTATACAGCTTTGCCTCTGTTAATCACATCAGCACTATCTTGTGTAATGTATCATAATACTAAAATATGTGGCGCGATGATAACTGTATTTTTGTGGAAAATCAGTCACTAAGTTGGGAGATCATTACATTTTCTTTACTCAGATGAGGGAAAGGTTACATAGCTGATGTTTTTTGTTTGTTTTTGGCTGCGATGTACATCTGCAGGAAGCACAGTTTTCAATTTCTTCCACAGTTCTTTCAGGTTTCAGCAGTTATAAGTCACCTTAGGTCACTTTACGCCTTCTCTCGATCTTGAACAAACCTAAGCTGTTTTTGTTTTTCTGTCCTCGTAGCATGAACTGAATTCACCAGCTTTCCCATGATAACCAATATCTCACAGCTTTAACGTAGTCTCACTGGGCTTTATTTATAGGAGTGGCTCCTTTACATACATGACTCAGAGCATGACTTTGAGAATAACATATTTTAGAGGACAAGAACATCACAGCTAAGCTCCTGTGACTTATATTCCCCAAACACGTGGCCCCCATGCAAAATGAATGTCACGCTCCCAAGACTGAATGGTGCTTCTATGTGAAGCGAGGACTTGCCTGTGAATTGATCCGGTCTAAAATTGGGGTTGAATTGAGAATCAGAAAGTTTGACTCCACAGGGGCCCTGAGAGGTAGCTTGAGCAGAGTACAGAGAGGCCCTGGGAGGTAGTTTGAGTAGAGAGGCCCTGGAAGGTAAGAAATGAAGGAACGAGTGGACAGGCAGGCAGGAAAAACCGAGGATCAAGGATTATGAGAAAAGGGCTTATTTGTTTCAGCAGTAGAATGAGGAAAAGAGAGCGCAGATAACTGTAGAGTTCATAGGATATGGTCTTTTTTTTTTGTATCTCTTAATCTCTTGGTCTCTGTCTCTCACGTGTTCACTCACACAAACATGCTTCACTGTAACCGCTCCATATGTGCGGTCAATATGGTTAAATCCATATTGTCTTCAGGCGTTTCGTTGTGCGAGAGGAGAGGCCACAACAGAGTCTTTATTGAGTCAAGAAGGCGCTGGATGGAAACAAGGAAAGGGGAAAGAGGAAAAAGAGGATGATTACAGGAAGTGGAGCTTGAATCATCTATACATATATATATATGTGTGTGTGAGTCAGCTGAACATGAACGGCTTGTTTGTGAAATTTAAGGAAAAAAACTGCTACTATTCTTCTTTTCTTTAAGCAAAGTTTTATGACATTTTCTTCTTCGTTGACTTATGATGGATTTAAAGAAAATTTTAAGGTCTTGCTATTGCTCCGTTGATGTATCACATGTAAGAACAAGCTTTATTTGTATTTGATTTGCACCATATCCAAGCAACAATGGGGCATATAAAAGGTGATGCAGTTACATTTATTTCTTAGTTTTTTTCAGAATTAGAAAAATTTTAATCCTTGTTGATGCCATGCTGTAGCTGTTGTAAGGCTGCAAAACAGTCTTTGAACATGTTAAAATCGTCAATAAATGACAGAAAACAATGAACATCACAACCTCCTCTAGCTCAAGGTGAGATGTTCCAAATGCTTGTTTGGTCACTCATTTGCTCTCCGTTATCAAAAGACAGAAAGAGCAAAAGCTGTGAAATAAAACATTTCAGACTCTCAAACCGATGAAAAATAGTTATCACGATGGAACAGAGGACTATTTTGTTAACTCTACTGAGCCCCATAGTTTAAAATTCCACAGACTGGGCTTCAAACTGTATGCCTTTAGGTAAAGTCTTGCTAGAACTGTGGAGTTAATGTTTGCCCAGAATCAGTTGATGTTAAATGCCTTCTGGAGAGACCTCTTGCAGTTGCCATGTCCTGCGTTTCAACTCTTTCCCCTGAGTGGGCCTACTTTTGTGTTTGATGAACATTCCCCAAATGAGAAAGAAAGTCATTCTCCTTGCTCTCCTTCAATCTCGCTTCTCTCGTTCTTTTGAAAAGATGGAATTGGTGAGGCTGCGTCCACTGTTGCCCGGACAACAGGCTGGAGATCATTGTGTGCGTGTGGGGCTGACTAAGTCAACAAGTTTTCCCAGGGCTGTCAGAAAAAGGAATAGGAGGAAGGCAAGAGACGGGAAGGGGGTGGGATGGTTCGGAGGGAAAGGGTGGCAATGAAAGAGGATTGCAGCAATAAGATCAGTGTGCAAGGGAAAAAAAAAAAATAGAGGGAGGCAAGATGTTGGAGGGGGGGGAGGGAGGGGACGGAGAGCAGGGGAGGGGTACCGAGGGGCACCCTGAAAGAAGAGGTGGTGATGGACGGGAGGTGGAAAGAGGAGGTGAAGAATTTGGGAGAAGAGAATGAGGGAGGGGAGGATGAGGAGGGGAGGAAGAGGATCAAATAGGGCTGGATAAAAGCCTAATTCCTGGGCATGTTGAGACAAGAGGAACAGAGAGGGCCAAAGCAGGGGCAGCAGGTACACATCAAACACACACATACACACACACACACACACACACACACACACACACACACACACACACACACTCACACACACACACACACGCTTGTGATCTTTGTGAATATGCTCATTGACATAATGCATTCCCTACCCTGACCCTATCCTTAACCATCACAACTAAATGCCGCACCCCAACCTTTACCCCTAACCTTACCTTTCACACCAAAGCCCCGTCTTCACCCTCAAACAGCCCACTGAAGTTGTGAGAAAGTGACGGCAGACCGAAAAACGCCCTCCCTCCCTCCCTCCCGAGGTGTAAAACTCAAACTGGGCCTCGCAAAAAAGCAGGCACACCCACCCACACACTTTAGTGTACACAGTATCAAAGTACCACATGTGAAAGGAACACATACATCTCCCTATCGCACAAAGCCCGCTTTGCCCTGCACGGCTCTGAATGAAGATAATGGCCATAATAGGACCTGACACTCTGAAAATACAGCACCACTGTCATGCCTATTGAGGAAGCTTGTCTGTTTCTAAATCCCGTTTTCTGAATGGCTGTATTTCTCTTCGCCGCCATTATCCCTGCAAAGTCTGTTTAATGCTATTTGAACTGTGGAGGAGAATTGAACCTCCAGACTCTCAGACTCCGTCGCTCTTCTTTCTTGCAGAGGAATGAAACCTTGGTTTTTCTCCAGCACCAATTTCTTGACTAAGAGCAAGATATGTCAAAGCTATTTTAGTTTAACCCAAACGTGATTTGTGGCGTCAGAGCCATGAAATAGAACTCACCACAATTTAGGTTTTGTATAATTTGACAGTATCCAAACTTTCTTGCAGGAATGCGAAATTTGCCCGATGTGGCAGGAAATTAAGTGTTTTTTTGTAACAGGATCTTTGGCTTTCGGGGCTGAATCCTTCTGCAGCGTTCTACTTTCTATGTTTCAGCATTGGATGAATAGATACGGCCCATAGCAGATACATACATGCAGTACTTGTGCCATTGTTTTCTTTGCGACTCAAATATTGAGTCGAGGTCAAGCTGTTAATCTGTAACTGAAATCTGTGCAGCCTGTGTTCACAACAAACTAACGTCACACTCAGGGGCACGCAGGACTTTCCAAATGCAGCTTGAAACAGCACAAAATCACAGTTTAAGAACAACGTTTATGGTACTTCGTTACCTCCTCAGTAGTTTACAGTGTATTGTCTGTATACGAATGTATAACATGTAATTAGATTTTGTTTGTTAGATCTTCCCCTGGGTGCTATACAGTAGTTTAGTTTTCCACCAGCAAAGGTCAGTGTCAGATTGTGTTTCTTGCCGCTCTTTGTTGTCACAGATAGTTATCCAGATAATCCAGATTGGGTGTATTCCACATATAATTACAGCACTTTTTTCCCAAGCTGACGATGCTCACAGGGACAGAAGTGAGTGGCACATCTGTGTAAACTCTCATGGTGCAGCAAGACTAAAGACGATAGGGATGTTTTGTTCATATGTAGAAACAACAAGAAAGATAACAAAGATGTGATCACACCTTTTTTTTTTATTAGTTTTAGAAAATGTATTCTGAGGTTCCTGCATTCTATTCAAATTATACCATCACTCATTTGATGCTAATATATATATATATGAAGATTTTGTTGTTGTTGTTGGTTTAGTAACATTTTCAAGCACATATCAGTGAAAGCCAGTCGTATGTAACTGTAAAGGAAATAAACATGAATGAGTAAAACAGGGCGAGTAGAGAAAGATGAATCAACTAATCCATTCATTAAATGTTGATTGACTTGTAGTGTGAGTAATTTAGATGATTTCCAGTTTGGCTGCTTTTAACACTACGAGCTTGTCACACTGTGGCTGCACTGCTGCTCCCTCTGCAGGACTTTTTACAGCATGAAAGTCTGTCCATGATTCTATTAGTAGCAACACTGCAGGTGATCGTGGATGAATATTTATTTGATAAACTGTAGTACTGGTATACGTTTACAGGATTGATGCGATTTGTCCTTTTCAGGTATGGCTTCTCTGGACAGCCGTGCTTCTGGTAAAATGGGAATGAGGGCCGTGGTTTACTACACCACCACGACCGTCATCGCTGTGTTCATTGGTATTGTCATGGTGCTCATTATTCACCCTGGAAAAGGATCAAAGGATGAGTTCAGCAAGCCGCAGCAGATAGAGCAGGTCAGCGCTGCTGATGCCTTTCTGGATCTTATCAGGTACCTACACGCATCTGTGCAAGCTGACCAAACAAACATTCACTGGAGCAACCCACTACACTGATTCTGTCAACAAAAATGAAAAATCAGAATCCTTTACTAATTTTACTTTTTGATAGTGAACACTCGGATCGAGGCGTTCGACCTGGGAGGAGGATATTAAAGTTCTGTGACCTTTGAGGTGTAAATGGATTCAAAAAAGCTGCAAAATGCAAATCGATATCAGCTAATGATCCTAACATTTGATACAGTGCATGTTGTATTTTTTGGTTTTTAGTGATGTGCGTTTGTCATTTGAAAGTCTGAGTCTAACTCATTAAATCGTAATACAATTATACCTATTTTGTTGTGTTTTCTAGAAACATGTTTCCTCCTAACCTTGTGGAAGCTTGCACCAAACAGGTAACAGTCCCACCACATCCTCTATTTTGTCACTTGGCCTACAGTTACAACAAAGGCTCTCTTCATGAATTCTCTCAGTGTATCATCACCAGTATCTGAGTGTTCAGTTAGCGTTGTTTAGAGCCACACTTTTGAAAGGTTTGCTTTTCATGTGCTTTTTAAAAAAAATTGTATACTCATATTGCCGTTGTCATTCCTTTGGGCTCTCAAAAAGTGCAAAGAGATATTTTACAATAACTGTTTCAGACGGGGGCACCTAACGATTAATTCACTCTTAGCTGCCCACGTTTGCACCTCACCCAGCCGTAACTGTTAACCAAGGCCCCTGCCTCGGTGCCACTTTCACTTCCTTATTCCAACACATTTTGGGCAGATGGAGGTGCTCTAGTGGAATTGTGAAATTATGTGTGCCTGATGGTAAAATAGGAAGTTGAAAGCACAAACAACTTCCCTGAGCTTTCATGATACACATCTGTTTCACAGTAACGCTGTAATTTAATAGGTTCGTCTAAAATTAATTGACTGTGAATCACAAATGTTGTTCTTGAATGAAAGTTATTTACTAAATATTAATGCACCAGGACTTAATCACCATTTAACACATTTGTCTCTTTTAAAAATACAGTTCAAGACACAGTATGCCAAGAGAGTAGTCCAAGTGACGATGACAGTGAACGACACAATATTCGCACCCAATGGCAGCCAGACAGTAGCCCGAGAGGAGATGATCCCAGTGCCAGGAGCAGTGAATGGAATCAATGCTCTCGGCCTGGTAGTGTTCTCCATATGCTTTGGTCTGATCATCGGGAGCATGCGGGAACAGGGGCAACCCCTGAAGGACTTCTTTGATTCGCTCAACGAAGCCGTGATGAGGCTAGTTGCCATAATAATGTGGTAAGTACCAGGAGGGCTGTCTTACCACTGGGACGAATAGATAGCGTTAACGAGGAATGAAATGTTTTAATTATAAATTCACGACACCAATCAATCCTCAGGTACGCCCCCGTTGGTATCTTGTTCCTGATTGCTGGCAAAATTGTGGAGATGGATGACATTACATCCATGGGCAGCCAGCTGGCGATGTATACAGTGACAGTCATTTGTGGCCTGCTCATCCACGCCGTCTTGGTTCTGCCAACACTCTACTTCATCGTCACCAGAAAGAACCCCTTTGTCTTCATCGCTGGGCTGTTGCAGGCTCTCATCACTGCCCTCGGAACCTCCTCTAGGTGAGTGATTAGGTTGAAAGGTCAAGGTACAATTCATATTAATCTCTCCATATATACAGTTCAGAGTTTGATTAACACATTTCCATTGCTCCAGGGCTTGAGAAACACAGTATTATTATAAGCTGACGGCATATACACAACACTAATTTGCCGGCGTTTTCCAAATGTAATTGTAATTATGGCCCAATAGTGTACTTTTCTGATCAAATTTTAATTATCACATCAATCAGCTTGTTGCAGATTTGCAATTGCTCCATATTCACAACACCCTGGGCCTGCAGTGGAAGGTTTTAGACACTGGTATGCTGTTGCACTTATTGCTGATCCCAATCTCTCTCTCTTTCCCCTGCTCTCCCCAGTTCCGCCACATTGCCCATCACATTCAAATGCCTGGAGGAAAACAACAAGGTGGACAAACGTGTGACGCGTTTTGTACTCCCAGTCGGTGCCACCATAAACATGGATGGCACAGCTCTATACGAAGCCCTGGCAGCCATCTTTATTGCGCAGGTCAATGATTATGACCTTAACTTTGGGCAGATTCTAACCATCAGGTACTGACATCGCGTACAATTGCATTTCAACTTCAAATATGTTATTGATTATGTGATTAGGTCAAGGATGTGTGTCACTGTACAACATCTGTTTGTGCTGCAAAAAAAACCAAAGGGAAACCCAAAGGGGGTTTGATTCAGTAAACATTGACTGCTCTGAGAGTTTAATCACTTTTGGATGGATACAGGAATACTTCTATTCTATTTGGCTTCCTATCTGGCAACAACCTCGACTGAACCCATGTCAAGCTTTTCCAAAGCCTCAGAACCACAGTTCCAACTTTACGACTGACTTTCTGACCACTTGTCTGGCTTTTTGACAAGGGATAGATGGAGAATAGTGTTGCAGCCAAGTAAATAAATGACCCTCTTCAGCGCTATTACGAAGGAATAATTGAGAGGTCAATAATGGGACATGTCTGACAGCACAATAAATAATTTTTTAGATAATTCTCTCCATCTGCCTTCTCTTTTTTTCCTTTTGTTTCACTTTTTCCTATCAGTATCACAGCCACAGCAGCCAGCATCGGAGCAGCTGGAATCCCTCAGGCAGGCCTGGTCACCATGGTGATAGTGCTAACGTCTGTAGGCCTTCCCACGGATGACATCACGCTGATCATTGCTGTTGATTGGTTCCTGTAAGTATTGATCATATGTCGCTTTAGCAAATAGTAAAATCAATACAAAACACCAGTAAGTCAAGTTTTTTTTCCCCCCCAAGTTGTACCACTTAACTTCAGAGTTGCAGCACTCTGTGCAAACTGTAAATAATTTGGTTTTATGGTGGTATAGAAAGAGTTTGATGGAGGGTGGATGTAGGGTGGTAGTGTGGTATGAATTCTATGAAATGTGACTGTTGTGCTGTACAGTGTTGAGTGGATTACCAGACAGCTCATAGAGACACTCCCTTCACATTCCATGTCCCTCTATCCATCTGGTTTTTATTCGGTTAACAGCCAATCCCAGTGAAAAACCCTGCTTCTTCCTATCTACTGTCTGTTTCATGTGGTTTGGAGGTTGCCTGAAGCAATTAATGCTTATGTTATAATTATACTTCATTACAATTATACGCTTATAGACCCTCCTCATAGATTTGATTAGCAATGTTTTCACTGTAGAGGTTTATTTTACTTAGTTTGTGTCTTTTTTGTCCTGTCTTGTTGTATCATGTCCTGTCTTATCCTGTCTTTTTGGCTTGTCCAGTCTCATTGTGATTTTGACTTGTCTTGTTGTATCTAATCCTGTCTTGCTGTGTCATGTCATGTCCTGTCTTGTCCTGCCTTGTTGCGTCTTGTCCTGTCTTTTTATGTCTTGTCGGATTTTGTCTTGTTTTGTCTTGTCCTGCTTTGTCCTGTCTTGTCCCATCTTGTTGTTTCATGTCCTGTCTTTTTATGTCTTGTCCAGTCATATTGTGTCCTACCCTGTCTTGTTGTGTCTTGTCCAGTCTTATTGTGATTTTGACTTGTCTTGTCCTGTCTTGTTGTGTCATGTCCTGTCCTGTCTTTTTGGGTCTTGTTGTGTCCTGCCTTGTTGTGTCTTGTCCTGTCTTGTCCCATCTTGTTGCATCTGCTGTGTCTTGTCCTGTCTTGTCCCATCTTGTTGTATCATGTCCTGTCTTTTTATGTCTTGTCCTGTCATATTGTGATTTTGACTTGTCCTGTCTTGTTTCATCTTGTCCTGTCTCCTTGTGTCTTGTCCTGTCTTGTTGTGTCTTGTCCTCTCTTGTCCTGTCTTGCTGTGTCCTGTCCTGTCTCATCCAGTCTTGTTTCGTCTTGTCCTGTCTTTTCCTGTCATTTTGTGTCATGCCCTTTCTTGTCCTGTTTTGTCCAGCCTTGTCTCCTCTTCCCACTCGCTACCTCCGGTCCTAACCTGTTCTGTGTCTTTCTCCAGGGATCGATTGCGCACCACCACTAACGTCCTCGGAGACTCCATCGGTGCAGGTATTGTGGAACACCTGTCTCGCCACGAATTGCAGAGAAAGGACCCTGAAGTGGGCAACTCAGTGGTGGAGGAGGCAGACAAGAAACCATACCAGCTCATCTGCCAGGAGAATGAATACGAGAATGAGCGGCCCGCTGACAGCGAGACCAAGATGTAGGGGCGAGATTTTGGTTCAAGGCTGCATACTTCAAAAAAAATAATTGCACTGCATTGAACCAAACTGGCAACTAAACTCTTTTGAATTTTCAAACCTCCTTCTTACAAGGTTGGAGGATTTAAATTAAATTGATCTACAGCTAGAAAATATTTCAGCCAAGTAAGTTCCACTAATGTGTGAGGCTTCCCTCGCACACTGCAGACTTGAAATGATTCATTGGTTGCCTTGTTTTGTGAAGGGTTTGTGCTATGATGCTTCCTAAGCACTATATGTGAATGCCATCGGGTGGCAGCTGTTTACGATTAAGAATGAATCCAACTCCCTTCAGAACTGTGATGACTAATCTCACCCACTAGAGGCCAGTATTGCTGGGAGTCTTAACACTACAGCAGAATACAGCCTAACACTTGCACAAACTCTTTCTGGCTTTAAAGTTCATTGTTTTGTTCGGTTTTAGTGGTGTTTTATATGAAAAAAAAATGTAAGTGAAGTGGTAGTAAATATCTGTCTGGAGTGTTGGAAATCATGCACATAGTATGGGGGACCAACTTCTTTGGGGGAAAAGGGCTATTACAAACTTCTGTACAGACATCTGTGGCTTTATTTTTTATGATTTGCTGTACAGATTTCACCTGAATGAATGAATGAAATTATTTACCTTAATTCACACATGCTTTTACTCTCCAAAGCAGCAAGTGCTATTGCTAGATATACAAAGCCGGCTTTCCAACTATACAAATTTTTTTTTTTTTAAACATATGTTCCTCATTGCAATCATTAAAACTGACACACCAAAATTACTCAGCTATGTTGTTTAGCTGAGAATTTGATCTGCCGTCAAATTAGAATTGTAATTGTGCTGTTACAGTTCAACCAAAAAGAAAAAAAAACAAACACCAAAAAATACAAACCAAATTTCTGTATAGTTGAATCAAACTCCATCCAATCAAGTTTTTAACCTGCACAAGACAGTGCTGTTTAATAGGAAGATAGTAATAAATCCTAATGGTGACTGTGGAGCTATAAACTACTTAGTCGAAACATTCACATGTCAGTATAAAATATTTGTTGCATTAAATTACTAAAATAATAGGTTGGATATATCATTTTCATATTACACTAGACTAAATTTAAATTGTGACTATTGTCAATTCAGCTTCTTATAGAAATGAAAACGTAACACCTATTTCTTTTCATTTAACATCAATGCATGTTGTAAAGTAATAGATTTAATTTCAGTCCCATTTTTATTTGGAATAGCTTGCTGTTTGTTTTTTTTTTTTTAAATGTTAACTATAATTCAGAATATATAAGAAATATGACATTTGCATAGCTGTTGCTTTGTATAGAAGATTCATCTGAATATAGTGTATTTGTATAGAGAAATGTAGATAAATTTGTATATTAATTGTAGATTGAAAAGGCAAAATGTTATTTTGAGGATTGTTATACATAAAGATGCTATGACCTAATGACTAAACTAACAATCCTTCTAGTGCCTCTTTACAAATGCAAAACTGGCTGATTTAAAGGAACAAATGTTCTTCTTTACGCACTTAAGGAAATGGAATAGTTCCTTTGTTTACAGTTGTACAGTTGCTGGTGTCTCTCTTGATCTGACCCGTTCCCACACACACACACACACACATACACACACACTCACACACACACAGACACACACACACTTGAATAGTAGTTGTAGTTTTTTCTTGCATGGATTTTTTTTTGGAATAAAAAAAAAAATAAAAAGAATTGCTTGTGTGCTCATTTATTTATTTTTATATATAAGTCTATGAAGAGATATGCATTCCTGAGTTTGCCTGTTTGCAGATATTAGGAAACCTCCTGGGAACTCGTCACACCCAAAGCAGTGCAGAGGGACATAATGTACAGATACCAAAAGCTTAGTGAGAGTAGGCGGAGGTAATTTCTTGCTTGAGGTAGCATTAGTGACGACTGGTGTCGGACAAGAGAGCAATTCTGATTCTCCTCCAACAGTCCAGATTGTCTTCAAATGTTGCTTCCAATCAGGAGGTCCTATTGAGAATCCGGCATCCTTCAGGCTGATGGAGTCATTAGATATAGACAAACAAGCACTTTTTTCAGTGTCCATCATATTTAACAAATGCCATTTCTGACGCCTTCAGATCAACCTGTGATTTGATGTTCTTCGTAACACTGTTGCTTGTAATTCCTTTAAAAAAAAAAAAAAAAAAGATCTATAAATTTAACCTAGGCAAAATTGTACTTAGCAGATTAAGCACACAGCGAGGTATTTTAAAACTAGCCGGCCTGTCTTCATAATATGTCATCCAGTATTTGATTTCACTTCAAATTTTGGATGCACTATAGAGGTTTATTTTACTTAGTTTGTGTCTTTTCAGTCATGTCTTGTTGTCTTGTTGTGTTACATTGCGTCTTGTCCTGTCCAGCCTTGTTGTGTCATGTCCTGTCTTGTCCTGTCTTTTTATGTCTTGTCTTGTCTTATTGTGTCTTGTCCTGTCTTGTCCAGTCTTATTGTGTCTTGTCCTGTCCTGTCATTTTGTGTCCTATCCTGTCTTGCTGCGTTATGTCCTGTCTTTTTATGTCTTGTCTTGTCTTATTGTGTCTTGTCCTGTCTTGTTGTGTCTTGTCCTACCTTGTTCTTCATAACAGTGTTGCTTGTAATTCCTTTAAAAAATAATCTATAAATTTAACCTAGGCAAAATTGTACTTAGTAGATTAAGCACACAGCAAAGTATTTGATAAACTAGCCGGCCTGTCTTCATAATATTTCATCTAGTTCTTGATTTCGCTTTAAACTTTGGATGCAAAATGATGCGACCCCTTGCCCATGCATTTACACAGGGGTGAAAAATAGGCTGCAATAGTGAAAAAAAAAAAAAAAAAATAATGCATTGTTTTTAGCTTTTATTTCTATTTAACTATATTTCACACATTATTTTTAATGCCTCCACAAACGTGATTACAATTTGTATGAAAAGTATATTAAATTAGCTTCAGCTTTTCTTACCACATCGATAAAATGATGCTTTTCATGGTAATGCATCAGTAATTCAATGCCATGGTAACAATCCAAAAAGGTCTCTGTGCAAATAAAAGTATTTTTTTTACTTTGAATACTTTAAATATATGCTGTTAATCTAGGACATTTGCTTGCACTAAGCAATAGCAAGCAAGCACTAAAAATAAAATCAATAAATAAATAAAACAAAATACAGGAGGATACATTACATTAACTGTAATAAATAATATTAGATTAATTTAAAATAATTGACTACAACAGCAGAAAAAGACTGAAGACAAGGCAAAATATAACAAATGGATCAGAGTACTTGTTATATCACAACACACAATTAAAAATATTGTTATAAATGTTTGCTCTGTATGTATTTTTGAATACATGTAGATGATATTTTCTTTATTTTAAATATCATCTTGCACATGGCACATATATTTGTTTTGTTATGTACAGTGTACCCCAAAACACCCGTAACAGGCATTATGCTGATATGTGGTACTTCAAACTAAAGTTTCATTGTCAGAAAATGCCGTAATAGTTTGCAAATGTGTGGATGTTAGCTGTTTAGCTGTCCAAAGACGGAGTTCTGGCGGTCTGTAAATGGGCCACACAAGATAAAGTTGCCTGGCAGCGCCCCCTGGCGGCTCACACACAGAACGTCGCATGGCATTTTGTTTGGCGCCGATGGAGGGAGTCACTCCTGAGATCTTTGGTCAGTCAGACGGCAGAACTTCCGGTCGGCATTTTGTTCTACGAGAGGAGAGCCTCTTGATGATCGCAACAATCGTCATATTTCTCATTTACTGTCGAAATTGGCTGCACTCATTGTTTATGTCGGCGCAGACCGACTGAAACTCCGAAGAACGAATGTTTCCCCATGAATGTACGTTGAAACATTCACCCTTGAGTGACGGAAGAAGAACGAATCAGTCCGACCCGGATTATTGTTGATAGCTAGCAGGCTAGCTCATCAGCTAGCTGGCAAGCCAATCGAGTTCCTTCTGGAGGAGCTGCGAGAGAGAAGAAAGGGGGAGCTAGAGATACGGACACGGACACAAACCAAGCTAAAACATTCCCCTCCCTTTGAACGCAACATCCGAAGGTAAATATAATCACATATCTATCTTTTTGAATCTAACTTTTAAAATTGCAATTATTAGCAATAACACTAATAAATGTTCTGCTGCAAGACCACCTACGGCGTCGTTAATCGTTGACCGGGAGGTAACGGAAGCTAGCGAACTAGCCAGCCAAGCTAGCTAGGTGTGTTTTTGCTCTGCCGAGGCGCACGGCCTCAACTGGATGTCATTTGTCGAGCCCGAGGATTGGGCCGTTGCCACGGAATTAGACTCCGTGCCGTTGCTTTTACATCTACTCACAAACCCATCGTTTTTTTCCGAGCTCAATGGAAATTGGCTAACATTAATTAAACCCGACTAGCGCTTCCTTGTCTTATTTGAATTGCCTTCCCTTTATTTGAACGGCGAGCAGCGTTAGAAGCTAACTAACAACAGTTAAAGCTAGTTAGCATAAACTGCTAGCTATTAAAACACGACTATTGTTGTTAGCGAATGTTAGTAAGCTAGCGTTACCAATCTTAGCTGCTACCGTAAGTGGTAACGCTAGCTTCGCGGTTAGCTCGAAAGATCCAGGCAGTTAACTTCTTGGCAGTGTAACGTAACGTTAATGGTTTGTTCGCCAGTAGCGAGCTGCAGCTCGCAATTCAGCTAAGATAAACATTCAAATGGATGCTAGTGTACGTTAGCTAAATGTTGGCTTGTCAGTATTGTGTCTTTTTTTGACAGCTTACGTTGTGTTTTGGTTTACTGGAACCTTTGGCAGGGCTAATGTTGGTTTTGGTCGCTATAGTGTTTTGAAACGATTTGACTGGCCGCGGACTGAACACAGCCTACGTCGCCTCAGCTGTAGTTACTTTTACTGTTTGAGTTTGATAGACATGTTAATGTTGATATCAGGGATTGTAGATATTTTTTTCTTGACTTCTGCAAATACAGCTTGGTAGCAATTACCCAGTTTGCAGAATGCGTACGGTGGCTGTTGGCTTCTGGAGGATGTAGCCCCCCACTACTGCCGCCACCATCACAGTGCATCTGTTCCTTTGTGCTGCCTCCTGCCTGTCAGTCTCACAGCTGTCAGCCAAGCCCCTGCGTACTGAGGGAAACCACATAGACACGGAGCATGCTAACGTTGCCGCTCGCTAATGTCATGTTTACAGTATCCGTGTGTAGATAGTGCCACAGTCACGTCGTGCAGAACAAGTTTCGCGTATTAAGTATGGGACTTCCGTGGTCACTTGCTCTCGCGTCTGGTCGGTTTGCCACAACGTGTTTACAAATTTCTCGCAAAAGTTGCAGAAAAGTTGTTGCGTATTCTGGGAAGTCGTCATAAAAGATTTTATGAAGGATCAACACTTTTGCAGCCTGTGTTTAAGAGTCATACAGCAGTAGGAACAAGAGAAATGCACGTGTTGTTCTGTTTGGCGTTGCTTTGTTGTTTTAGGTTGGCTTGTTAGTGCAACGCTTGTAGGCATAACTTCTTGTGTTGTTGTTACAAAGTACAATGACAGTGTCACTGAATCTCATGCAGAGCCATGTTCTCTTTCAACAGATTGAAGGGGTAGGACTTTTTATCTGAAATGTCAGTGAGTCCACCAGAGACTGCACAGAGTTCTTCAGAAAGGTATCACTGGAATGCTCCGAA